TTAATATTTTTTTATTTGAGCTAATATTTTATTTTTATGTGGAATATTAGTTTCATTTAGATGTTTTTAATCTTTATGTTAGGAAGAATAAAATAAATCAGAAAAATAGTGTCTTAATTATTTTATATTTTATTTATTTTTTTATGAAGTATATTAATGCAAGTTATAGTCTCTTGAGTTAAATTTTATTATACTAAAATATATTAATATTTTTTATTTGAGCTAATATTTTATTATGTGAAATATTAGTGTCATTTAAATGTTTTTAATATTTACGTTAGGAAAAATAAAATAAATCAGAAAAATAGTGTCTTTATTGCTAAAATATATTATTAAAAAAATTAACATGCTTATAGAAATACAATCATGGGTTACAACAATACAAAGATTAATTTTTACGGTAGAGTTTGAAAATAAATAAATATTTTTTAAAAAAAACTCATATAATATATTTTTATGGTCATTAAAAATAGTTGAGAGAAATGGAACAAAATAGAGAAAATGAAATAAAAAAGTGAAAAGGGACAATTTTGTTATTTTTATATATTTTAGGGATTATTTTTGGAATTTGTACAAACTACTGGGGTATTTTTGTAATTAAATTTATTATTTTATTAAAAAACTAACGGAGATCCGTTAATTTGGATGGAAAATGGGCCAATTGGACGAAATTGGCGAAAATTTCAAACATTAGGGTAAAGTTGACTAACCGAAAATCTATTGGGTATGATTGACGACGAGGGCAAAGCTTTGGGTAGGAACGACATTTTTTCCAGGTAAATTTGATTTGAAGCAACGAATATTACATTTTTTTAAATAAATTATTCTTTCTGTCTCAAAATTATTGTCCAGTGTGAATTTTCATTTTTAGTACAATTTAAACTAAAAATGAAAATCCAAACAGTGCAATAATTTCGGGGCAGAAGGAGTACTAACATTTGAAGTGCTGATTACTAGGCATATAAGTTACGATCATCATGTTGATTTTCATTAAACGTTAGATGATTTTCTTCTGTATGCAATGAATCGTTGTGATGTGAGAGTCGTTAAATGCGTGAATGACCAAATTGTCCTTTTCTTTTTGCGCCTTTGTTATACTTTTGTTGTTATTATTGGTCCCATGTCAATAAAGGAAGAATACGCAGAATTCTTGCAGTTTTAATTAACTCCATTAAACCAAATGAATGACTAGGAATGGTTAGGTTCTTGGAAGGTTGATATATATAGCTCAAGCCAAGTGCCAATTTTTAATAAGCTCCCAGTTCCCATTCCTGGTGGCAATTTTCAGTGAACTGAATATATACATTTAATTAATTGTTTAATTAACTAGACTGGTCCCCAATAAGCAGGGGCAGAGAGATGTTCATTTTCAGTTCAAAGAATCCCTATGGCCAAAACACACATGCATTCTTTTAATAATTCGAATGCATAGCCAAATACACAAAATCAAATGAATCCTGATATTTATTCAGAAAAAAAAGTAGTAATTTGGGGGCTGTGTGTCTTTCAATTGTCAACAGGTTGGTCTTGTTGTCCCACTTGAATCTTTGATCTTTTCACATTTCGTATTTAGAAAATTATATACTTTGGCAGACCGAAATTTAAACACACCAGCAAATGCATATGGTTGGAAATTAACATCCCCTACACACGTCTCTTCAATGTACCTTTCCCAAAACACTATGTGCTTGTTTGTTTGTTCACTCGTTTTACATTTTAACTCATTTTACCTCTTAAACACAAAATTCAATGAAAAAAAAAAATCATCCAAACAACTTTTTGATTTACATTTTAAAATCCAACTTGAAACACTTTTAGTTAGTGTAGTGACTATTTTTTGGAACTAAAAATAATTCAGTGACTAAATCCAAAACTTTGCACATTTATTTCAATTTGCTTCTAGTCAAAAAATACTTTCTACAATTGATGGTGGTTAGAAAAAAGTTTTTTTTTGGAATATGTATGGAAATATCAAGTCAAAAAATATCACTAAACAATCAAAAAGTGTCAATTTTGGTCACTGTAAAAAAAGAATTTCAAAAATTATTAATAAACAATGGAAATGTGTCGATTTTGGTCACTGTAAAATATTAATTTTAGAAGCTATTCCGTGATTTTAGTGATCATTTTACAGTTGTTTAGTGATCATTTTTGAATTTTTTTTTTCTATAGTGACTAAAATGGGATTTCCGTTGTTGAGTGATTGTTTTGAAAAAGTTCAACTTTGTAGTGACTAAAATGGGATTTCCATTATTGAGTGATTGTTTTTGGAAAAGTTTTTTTTACAGTGACTATAATTGACAGTATTTAATTGTTTAGTGATGACTCTTAATTGATATTTCAAAATATAGTTCAAAATATTTTTTTCAAAACCAACATCCAAACAACTTTTTGCTCAAAATACCGCCCAAACAACATTTTCATTTCTCATTTAGTTTTCAACTTGAAACACTTTTCACTTTTAAGTGGCAAAATAAAATGTAAGATGACGTCCAAACAAGCACTATTACATTTGTAGCACCGTATATTGATTATTTTATTCGTTTCAAAATAATAATACATATATTTACTCTCTCTCTGTCCCAAAAGTATTATCTATTTTAGATTTTTATTTTTAGTTTAATTTGTATTAGAAATAAAAATTTAAACTGAACAATTAATAATTCTAGGCCGGAAGGAAGAAGTACTATGTACGTAAATTAAACTTGCTCGAACTATTCTATTCACCAAAGAATTGATGCTTTTCAAGACGGCTTAATTGTACGGACCACGGAAAATCTACGGGTTTTAGGTAAAAGGCAACCTCTAAAAGTGTGTAATCAGTGTATGAATAATTAAGGTTTTACTTTGCAACCGCAAGGTTCTGGCTTGACCATTTGGGCAAGATTAAGTGTACCTACGTTTTTTTTTTTCCATCTTCAAGAATTTCTTCCAAAAATTCAAGAACCTTTCTAGCTGGGTGTTTTTGCAAATCTGCAGTTTCTCCTCAAACAAGATGTAATGAAAAAAGTGATGGGTGTGCAAACTCAATCCCACGTGATGGGAAAGTTCCAAACTTAGTATATAAGTTTGGTTGGTTACTATCTCTATCACCAATTAGTTTTAGAATGGAATTTCATTTGGGTTTGTATGTTAGGCTTGAGGAATACTGGACTAGGAAAAAAGGATCCGAACAAGTGGTTTCAGAGCCACGGTTCTAGCCCTGTTGATGTGTGGATAGCGTGGCGTGTTCTCCTAGTTTGACCTTGCAACGACTCGTGGACTCAAGGAGTGAAACCGGGTGCCTAGTTGTGGGTCTTGTGTCGAAAGTCTTCCTGACAATGGTGGGTCAGTCGGAGTGTTACGCGAGTGATAGCGGGGGTACAAGTTGGATTGTCGTTGAAGGGGAGACTTAAGTGTGGTCTTGTGTTTGATGGGAGGTTTATTGGGTGTGCAAACCCAATCCCACATCAGTGACGGGAGAGTTCGAACTCTGGTGAATTATTTTCTCTATTATCAATTGGTTTTAGAATGCAATCTCATTTGAGCTTATATGTTGGGTTTGAGGAATATTGGATTAGAGATGAAGTATCCTAACAAAAAGTCAGGAAAAAAAGGTAGTTAAAACAAAGTTACAACATAGCTGTTAATTTATGTCGATTTTGTAAATCGACATTGTACTTTTGATGAGTTAATTGTATCTTAACAACAAAAACATAACCCAAAGCTTTGCTGACAATACAGATAACCTCTGTGAAAAAGTGATAAATTTAACTGCCGACCATCACTACTAACTTCAAAAACAATTGCCTTATAATATACCCAAGCTAGTAAGAAGGTCTTTTCTTAGAAGATACAAGGTATATTTCTAGCTAGCGGGAATCGAATTCATGCATCATCGAAACAAAAGTCCTCTCCAATGTCTTTTATCACCTGAGCTAGGATTTCTATTAAATAAATTAATTAATATGAATATGATTATTTATCTATTTATAAGAATAATATTCCTTTTCTACAGCCAATTTCTAGGAAACTGATTAGCCACGTGGTGTTCATGTTACCTTTATGGTAAGCACTGCCGAAGAACTATTGATAATACGATGTGTGTCACGCTTTGCCGTTTTCATATTGTCAAAGAAGAATTGCATACGTCAATACCCTGAACGAAATAAATAAGTTTAATAATTAGCTGGTATTGTGGAAATTCTGAAAGAATTATATAGAATTTCCTTGCCTATTACAGAAAAAAAGAGACCAGATTCATTGAAGTCTTTTCTTTGGTGATGATAATGATAATGACCATCTGATATTGTCTACCTATCCCATCATCCTCCCCCATGACACAATAGGGGATATTAAGACAGCCTCTTGCTTTATATTTTAATGCCACTGGTTTCGGTTTCTGTTTTTTAGTTTTTGCATCCTTAATTTGCTGCCTGTTTCCCATAATTTACGTATTCTCTTCGTTCCAAAATAATAATTATCAATACTAAAATTAAACAATCATTTCAGAACTAAAACAGTATATTTAAGTGAATTGGGCTTCGTTAGCAAAGAAACTCAGAAGAGCTACACGAAACCAAGACGAAACAGTATAGACCAAATCCACTTGCCTCCTAAACAGCCTGTAAAACTCTTTAAGGTTGAAAAGGATTTGATATATGCTTTGTTTCTGTAAGTAAAGTTAAAGGGAGGAATACATGCATCAAAGTCCGTCACGGACCTGCTAATGAATACTATTGACAAAGGGCGCTTCAACAAACTAAAAGTTCCATTTGAAAAGAAAAGAAAGGCAATACCGTTCCTGGCAATGAATTAACAGAAAAAAAAAAACAGATGAAGGAAGAAGATTCAGAATTGCAATCTCCTCCGGCATTATAGATTGAAGAAACCTGGACGTAAGGTGCTCACATTTTTGTTGTTACCAGCATTAGATTCATGTTAGCATGCCTAAATTATGAGTGGAAAACTATCATTATTTAGCTCAAACAAACTCCAGACGACAAATCCAAGTGATTTTGTAGGGTCTGAAGATGAACAAGCATTCCCAACTCCTAAGAGAAGCAAACTTTTTCCGTCTAATGGCCAGATAGAGCAGTAAGTTTGAAGCTCAAAACCCACTACAGCAAACATAAGAATTGCAAGTGATATTTTGGTTTAATATGTACAGAAACCCATCAACAAATGCATCTTGTTTAGAAGCCCAGTAGAAGGCCTCAAAATGCTCCATGTATATGATACTGATCATAGAGGCATAATGCTTACGCAAACAAAAGAATAGCCATAAAAGGTAATTATTTTCTCAATTTTTTCTATTCTTGCCTTTCACTTTCTATCTCCCTTCGGGAAACTATACAATCAAGCCTAAAAGAGAAATGGTACAGCACATCTCAAACGCTAATTGAAATAGGTGCCTTTGTGCAGTGCAGCAGAGGCATCCCTAATCATACAAGCCTTCCTGCTCCCATGTATCAACGAGAAAATCCACCATTTCCTATCAATCAAATCACTTCAATTGTCACTATTTCTATACTGTGTTTATAATGAAGTCCATTCATCAATGTTAAGGTGAAAACAACCAAGAAGTCACAAAACACTTACAGCGAGAGGAATAGGTTGGGGAAATCGCTTGTTGGTGCCCAGTAAGCTTTCGTAACTTGCATTCCAGCTACAAGAAGACAGAGTTAGACTATGGGCTCGAATGATATCAAAACAAGAGAATACAGGATGATGAGGAGAAATGAAGAACAAGATAACATACTCCCTTTTGATATTTTCTTACGATGGAAAAACTACAAAAGATTAACATGTACTCTAGTCAAGAAGTTATTATATGTCTACAGCTCAACGTAGATAGTATTTTCTTAGACGATCACAAATGCTCAAGTCAGATGATAGCACAAACTAAATCAACAGAACGTGATCCACTTTACAGGAAAATGATTGTGGAACTTGAAATATGCACCAGAAAATTTGAATGAGAAGAAAGGCATATACACCTTAATATGGGTTCCTCAGCTTGTTTGTGTCTTTCAGGCATTTTGTTTGCAGTCCAATGAATTCTTCCCTGGTTCCAAAGGAGAAAACCTACAGATAGGAAGGTATTTGTCAACTTATAAGAGGATGGCTTTAGTTGTAAAAGTACAACTAATATCCTATACAAAAATATATGAATTGCACTTACCATGATTGACAAATTCGGAGTGGTTAGTGCTGTTGACAGTGCCACCTTGCTGACTGGTGCTCTGATTCGATACACTGATAGATGACAAACTTCTCTGAGATTGAGCCATACTGTTCTCAATTTCACAGGCACTGGTGCTCCAAAAATCTTCAGATATGCTTGGTTTCCTCACTAGCCGTCCTTGAATCCTGAGCCCCTTTGATGGCTCATCAACCGCAATAATTGGCTGAGATTTGACGCAGCAGCCAAAACAGTTCCTGTTCTGTTTCAATTCAAGTTTATTCATGCATACAACAAAGACCATGAAAACTGTCGACCATTCATTAAACATGTACTTAGCGATTACGAAGTAGCTGAAATTTACTAATATGTTCAGATAAAAGTACAACTTCAGGCCTCATGGAGATGTTTGATTGCAGACTTCCAGTTATCACTCATATCTACAGGAATTCTTCAAAATTGATAATTTACGTTTTTCAGATGATCAACAATAAGTTCAAATCCAAAATGCAAGATCAAAAATTGTGGCAATAAGCAACTGCAGCCTGAAATGAAAAGAGAATGTCGCCTATCACCAATGAGAGAAATCAACACACCACTACAAGTAACTACATTCGCCACTTCCATGGCAAAAGGTTTCTTGACTCTTTGCTAAACACAAATCTTTCAAAATTAATAGGTGAATACTCACTACTTCAATCGCACATCACTTCAATATTGCTAATAGCTACCATCATACATTACTCAGTAGTCACTTCTTTCTGCAGTAAAATACTGCATAGCAACAACCGGACATTGACTTGCGCTCATACCCTCTATTGAACTCCAGAGAAAGGAATGCATTAACCATATCCTGTTAGAGTTACCTCCTAGTAATCAAAGGTTTTATTCAAGGAAACCTGAAACTAGAACAGGGCCTGGCTACAAAGCTAATCAACTATACTGATTATCATTTCCATATGAAATATGCTCAGAATTTACCATCTGAATGTGAAATCCTCCATCAGTACTACTGTCCACCTCTTGTAATTCAATCATCCACTTTGATAGATAATAAGAAAATGTATTTCTCTCTCTGTGTGATAGACATCAATGTGTAATTCCACTACAGAATTTGCACTTTTTTTATATTTGGAAAATGCTAACTGCAGAAAATTCCGATAATGACTGCTTCACTTTACGAGGCAAAACAAAGAGGCACCAATAAAAAGGAGCAAATCCAAAGACAGCTAAACACAATGGAAACAGGCATTAAATACAGTGTCCTTAAGGAATGGAAAAACCAAGAGAACACCCATCCTCAGTCAGTTTCGAAATCGAGCATCATTTCCGAATCATCAACACACAGACATACAGATACATTACACATAAATAAAATGCCAAATTTCCAATTTTCCCCAGGAAAAGTGAAACCTCAAATTAAACAAAGATGCAACTTTACCATTTAAGAAACAAGAAAACGGAAAGAAGAGATGGAGAACAGGAAAACGTACCCCATGCAGGCAAGAAACGCGCTGATCCAATCACTGAAAGAAGTGTACAGCATCATATACCTAAACATAAACAGCTAGTATGAACACTGGGGAATGCTATTCAATACGGCGGCGGTGGCGGCGGCGGCGACCCAATTCAACCGACGCCCAGCATCAAAGCCTTTTCCAATTAGCTCAAACAAAACCCAGCAAGATTGAATATTTATATTAACCCACAAAAATCCTGCACAATTGAAACAAAAAATTAAAAGGGACGATAACTCCTAAGCCATCTTGACTGAAAAGAATAGTAAAGTTTCATTGTGTGCTTTTCAAAATCAAGAAACTCCCCAAACCCGACAAACTAATAAACAAAACGAGTGAAAGCACAAAACCCAACTGCATCTAATAGACTAAAATTTAATCACTCACTTTTCTGAGATTGACGAGCCAGCCGTGATAATTCGACGGTGCCAAGAAAAAGCTACAAACAATTTTTTTGGGTGTAGTAGTTTTGAGTGGGTGAGTCTTCAGTTTTGTTTGTTGTAATCTTTTATATATATATATATATATATATATATGTAGATCTTAGAAATATTTGTAAATTTTTTGTTGTAACCTTTTGTTGTAACCTTTTAACATGACCCAAGATATCTGTAGATCTTAGAAATATTTGTATCTGGAAAAAAAATGTTTTATATTTGGCAAGATATATTTTAAAAATGTTTGAAGAATTTAGAAATTTTTTATAAGTATGATCATAAAAATGTTTGTATTTGGCATAAAAAGAAATTTTATTTGGCATAGTACGTTTTAGAAATGTTTGAAGATTTTAGAAATGCTTTATAAGTGTTACTTCTTAAATATAAATAAACTTGATCAAATATATGTCTTGAAGTAAATGCAAGACAAAATATAAAAGCATCCTAATAAGTTTAAATATTAGTAAGATGATTTATTGATGTTCTCCATTGGTTGTGCCATATCAGTACTTAGTTTTGGAGATTTATAATAATTTTGTACTAAGCTTCCTCCAAAGGGTATATGCTTAATTGTTAGAGCTATTTCTTCCAAAAGTTTATAGGTAGTAAAATATCAAAAATATGATTTTGAAACTGGTTGATCACAAATATGAGAATGAAAATAATGCAAATTTGCATAGGTTTCAAGGTATAGCAAAAAAGAACTCACCTCACTATGGCAAATAAAAAAAAAAAGAAATTAAAAGATAGTCCATTAAAAATTGAGAAATTTATTTTCTTCTGTATGTAAAAATGATGTATAAAAACACAAATAAACGTAGAAACATCATTCCTTCACTCTTCACCTCAATTTCATAAAAGGCTTCCCCATAAATTAGTTAGAAGAAGCGACCTGAACTATTTATATGATGATGAACTAAAAAAAGTCCAAAAACCAAATCCAAAAAAGTATATTATTGAAAGCCCGAACACAAAAAAAAAATAACGCGCTTCTTCTAAAAGTTTGATAATCTGCCATGGCATGTCTTAGAACTTCTTGAGGTGTATCTCGCTGATGTATCCAGTACAGTTTATTTCTACTTTTCCAGATATGCCATAATATTACCAAAGATTCTTCCAGCAATTCTCTATCTGGTGCCTCTGTTTCCAATCTGTGAGCCATTATTGAATTGAGACTGGCGTACTTTCTTGAAATTTAAATCTGAATTTGGATAAAAACCAAATTCTTTTGACTTTTTCACATTCAATAAAAATATGTGAGTTGGTCTGAGTGATTGCATTACATACTTGGAGTGGGTACTAAAATGCCTCTCTTTTGCAGCTGTTCTGAAGAGGCACATTTTCCATGTATGATCTTCCAAATAAAGTGTTGTACCTTAGATGGCAAGCGAGGAGACCATAATTTCTTCCACTACTGATCTTGTATGCTTGCTGAAAATTGATTAGCTAATGTTGATGGGAGAGAGGAAGCTGTCTGATTAGTGTTAAAGATCACCATCAAAAGTAGTTGAGGGAGGATCTACTTTAATGATAATTTTTAGTAAAGAATTATCATGAGTGATAGATATGATTTAGTAATTATCAAGATTAGTTTAATTTAATAATTATTAATAGTAACTTTTATCTAGTAGTGTAGACATGCCTATAAATAGACACCCACTTTGTTTTGTAATGGTGTTAATCACAATATAGTCTTCAAATATTGTTTCCATTCTTCTCTTTTTATTTATGTTCTTAAAATTCTTAATTTTCGTCTTGGTATCAGAGCAGGTTCTTCTTACTATAAATCATGGTTTCTTGCTTCCACTCACTAATTTTTCTTTAAAAAAAAACACATGATTTCTTGATCATGTGCACTCATAAATAGTATCTTTTTTGTCTTCAAGAAAATAAATAATAGTTTTCCAAATCATGTGCATTTAAGAATACTTGCGATTGTGTCATTCTTAAATTTCAAATGTATCCCAAATCACTATCTTTCATTCCTCCTCTACTACTAATCTTATAATCCAGTTAGATTCTCCCAAGAATAACCAGTCCCATAAATTTGTCATAAATCAATTCTATTAAAGCACAAATTTTTATTTTTTTAAATTTTTTTTTTTGCAAATCAACGTCAGTTGATTCACAAATTTCAGACAAAGAAGAAAGTCACCTGTGAGTTAATCTAAAAAGATTCCCATTATGGCAAAAGTTTGATCTCCTCTCAAATGAAGAGTTTTGACTTGTCATACAAGAGTCCAACAATCCACAAAATATTTCGATTATGGCAAAAGTCTGATATTCTCTCAAAAGAAGAGTTTTGACTTGTCATAAAACAATCTAACAATAAATTTCAGGCAATTTGTCCAACACATGGCCAGAATCACTGAAGGCTGAATCTACAAGTTTTTCACTGCTCATGTTCTTAAGGACGAGAAAGCCGTCAACACAGTCAGAGCAAACTGAGTCTCTAATCCCGATTCAGTTTGAGGGATGATGTTAAAGATCATCATCAATAGTAGTTGAGGGAGGATTTATTTTAATGATAATTTTTAGTAAAGAATTATCATGAGTGATAGATATAATTTAGTAATTATCAAGATTAGTTTAATTTAATAATTATCAATAGTAGCTTTTATCTAGTAGTGTAGACATGACTATAAATAGACACCTACTTTGTTTTGTAATGGTGTTAATCACAATGTAGTATTCAAATATTGTTTCCATTCTTCTCTTTTTATTTATGTTCTTAAAATTCTTAATATTAGTCTATTAATAGCCTGATGATATCCTGATTTCACCGTATATTGCCCATGTTTTTCTAAGGTCCAAATAAGTTTGTCTTTGGCATTGGAAGCGGTTTGTGATAAATGAATTATAAGGATGCGTTTAACATGATCCTCTGGAAAAAAGAGACGCAACAAAGAAGATTTCCAGTGTCTATTGCTATCAATAAAATAGCATTCTCAAATGTGCTTTGAATTCGGAAAAGGAAGAAGTTTTAAAGGGTTCATCAAACTTGGAATCCAATCTTCCTAAATTTCAACATATGTTCCACTTCTGACCTGCCATTTTAGCGATGAACGGATTAGATCTCTTCCGCAAAGTATACTTTGCCATCCCCAAGAAGCGGTTTTACCAATTTCCACTTCTAGAAAATCTGCTTCCATACAGTATTTTGCTAATAATAATCTCGCTAATAAGGACTGAGGTTGTTAGAGAATTTTCCAAGCCATTTTCGCCAACAATGCTTGATTCATTTCCCTTGCTCTCTTCATTTCTAGGCCCCCGTTTAGCTTCAATGAACAGACTTTGTTCCAATTAATCCAATGAATTCCTTTTTTTTGTTACTGTTCTTGCCCAGATGAAGTTTCTGAGAATTTTGTCAATTGTTGTTGCTGTTGTAATTGGAAGCTTGAAAACCCCCATAAGATACAACACGGATGAGGATAGTGCTGACTTGGCTAAGGTAGTTCGCCCTTGTGTGGATAAGGAAGCAGTTTTCCATTTTGAAATTTTTTTTCTTCAACCTAGATATTATTCCTGCGAATGCTGCCTATTTAGATCTTCCTACATCCAGAGGAGCACCTAAGTATGCATCCTTTGTTAACGGTCTCTGAATATTGAGGACAATCTTGACCCATAAGGTTTTCGTATGATTCATTCTGAGGCTGAGAAAAATGATCGATTTATGAAAATTAATTCGTTGACCTGATCACTTAGAAAAGCTGGATAATTTGTTAGCTAGATCATTGATTTGTTGTTGTGAACATTCTGTGAAAATGATAGTGTCATCAGGATACATAAGATGCGATATCCTCGGAGCTTGACGGGTTATTTGAATGCCAACAGGGGCTCTGCTATCAGCATGATTGAGCACTAATGAGAATGCTTACTGACTGATTAAAAACAAATACGGGAATAAAGTGCATCCAAGGTGAACTCTTTTAATTGGGGGTGAAGGATGGTGAAGTCCAGCCATTAACTGAGATTGAGTATCTCACTGTTGTAATCTATGTTACTCGGACTCGGCCCTTTGGGGTAGAATACTCGTGTCGACACGACATGACACGGGTGCGGGTGTGAGATCCGTACAGGATCTGATTTCGTCGGTCAAGACGCATTGACCATATGGGAGGATTTTATTTTTTTTTTTCTCTTTTTGGGGAAGGTGAGTCCCAAAAATTTGGCCGACCACCTCTGGAAAATTGTTGCACCGCCGGTCTGGATGTTGACGAAGAAGGCAGAAAACTTCGACAGACTGGGCTTTTTTTTTATTTTAAAATGGGGTCTTTCTCTTCAAAGTTAAAGAAAAGCCCACTGGCCTATGAATCCAACTTGGTCCAATGTGCTCTTTTTTGATATTCCATAAAACCATGCTATCTTTTTCTCTCAGCCCAAATCCCATATAATAAAATGAAAAAATCTAGAGTCCCGTTGGCCAATTTTACGAAACCGTACCATTCTATCTTAACCAATCAATATTGAGGATATAAGATGTAATCATGGAGTGAGAAACATTCTATAATTTCTCAAACTAATTACCTTTTTGGTATCATGGTCTTTATATAAGGCCAAATACACATTGTAGTCTTATAAATTAACATTTGGCTAAAATAGTCCGTTATATTTTTATTTGTAACTTTTTTTGTTCTTTGGCATTATTCCAAGAGTTTCACTTTGACCATCTTTATTTCAAGAGTTTGACCATCTTTATATTTAAGTCAATAGGGTATTTTCGAAATAAAAAATATTTATTTTTCAAAAAAATTAATATTGAATAATATTAATACAAATATTAATATAATTATATTCATAAAAATAATTACGAATTAAAATAAATATTAAATTAATAAAAATTTAAAAAGTTTAACTTTTGAAACTCAAAATGACATTTTTTTTAAAAATAAATGTACCTTCGTTGCACAAATTTTGATATAATTTTTAATTTGGTGCGCTTAGAATAAAGTAAAAATATTAATTTTACGACAATTTTTGATAAAATGAATAATTAAGTTAAAATTTAAGATTTTATTCTAATCTAATTTCTTATTTTGGATATGTTTTAATTTATG